ATGTGGCCTCCAGTGAAATAATCCCAATTGTTTCAGTCAGCCTTTCTAACAGCTTGAGGCGGTTGGATTTCTGTGGTGTGTCGCTTCCAGCACAAATGCAGAAGGCGGTCCTGCTCGATACGGCACGTATTGTTCGCCGATTCTTGGACCTGAGTCCCTGACCCCGGCCGACTGTGCCATTGCCGGGAAATACCGCCTCTCCCATTTAAAGATTCAAAATTAATTTTTTAGGCCTTGGGAGAGGCGAGAGTTTAAAATAAATACGAAAATAATAATAATAATAAAGTAAATAATAATAATTCATTTTGGTCCGTAAGTGTGGTTTTCAACTAGACCACAGGTTGAGAATAATAAAAAAATATAATTATATTAATAATAATAGTTATGTCTAGAATTTGGCAACAAGGAAAGGCATATGTTATCCCCATAGACTTACAAATAAATGGACGACGGGTCTAATACAAAAACCACGAAAAAAATGTCCCAAGTCAACCTATTTAAACGTAGTGACATGTAAAGGAATATGAAAAAGCTAAAACGTTGAATTTAAATTGTAATGTCATCGCAGTACTGTCTAATTTTGCTTGCTTCGCTGTCAGTCGAACAAACGAAGACTAAAGCGAGAATGACGCTCTGTATACGATTTTAACGCCCTATAAGTTCGGACACTTTTTAGCGCGGACCCGACGTCCATATAATTGTAAGTCAATGGTTATCCCAATTGTTTTTTCCACAACAGGCATTATTCCCAAGACAGAACAATAACTATAGTACAAATGGTTAGTTAGCGTCTGACGCGTGCCAACCTTAGGTCTCGAAAGACCTACTTGAGCTCAGTACGCCATGTTGTCTTTGTATAGTATGGTTGCATCATTCTTTTGCGCAAATTCTCTAAAACCGCTCAAAAATGCATTATGGTGCTGTTTTGGAGGACAAAAATAATAGCTGCACGAAAAATATTACCTGTATACTATTTCATATCATTGGTAAGTTATTTTAATAAATTTTCGATTTCCTGTTTATTGCGAATTGATTCAAAGGTTCATCGTTCGTCGTAGTTCAGCTACTGGCCGCAAGATGGCAGCACGCTGAATAAAATTTATATATCGCACTGCAATAGTGTTGTAACTCAAAATATGTGAAATTTAATATTATATCATTACTGAACGTAAAATTTTATTCTCTACACGCCAAAAAACTGTCGTTAGAATATTGTAAGAAACAATAAAAAGATATCTGCTTAACTCAAAATGAGACAGACTTTATGTGAGCTAGTTCTGGCCAAAATAATCCTTATTCAAAACCATGAAATTATTTTTTCCATTGTATTTTTAAATATATTTGAGAAATTGTTTAAGTGCTATAATAAACTATAACATATAAATTTTTTTGCGGGAAGTGACCAAATCGTTTTTCATCGATTCTGAGAAAGTCCTCTTTTTGAGTTCATACACTATTGTATTGAACAGTGCGATATATTGAATTAAACAGTACAGAGTACTAAAAAAGCCGACCTCAAAATTCATTCATCTCCTAATTTGCCACCCTCAGAGGTGAAATATTTTCTTCAAATTTTTTAGAGTTAAAAGTTGTCGCGTAACATACATACAAAAAACAGCCGAATTGAGAACCTCCTCCTTTTTTGAAGTCGGTTAAAAATCATAACGTCGTAACTTGCAACAAAGGTTGAACTTTGGTTGAACTTTCAAAGAAATAGCGTAAATTATATTTACAATCCAGAATTTGTTACACCTTTTTAAGTTTATGACCAATCATTATAAAGCTTTCGTAGGGTTTATCATTTCAACTCATCCGAAGAACAGAGACTGAAGTGATTATACAACGAAAATATGATAAATTTATAATCTCCTTATTTAAAATAAGGCCTGTCTATAGGTGTTTTCATAATTTTTATACCTTATTTCATTTTGGACATATAAAATCGAACACCGGTCCATCTGATATCCACAGCGAAGAACATCGAACGAAATGGATAATGTTCTGAGAATAAGTAGTCTTAGCTGTGGAAAGAATACTTTGATGAGAGATCCAAAGAAAAGGTATCTGGTTCAAAACAATTCAACCTGAGCCACTGGAAGTTCCATGGATTGATAACTGTCTGATGAATGGACTTGGCGTTGTGACGGCTCTGAGGCTGCGCTCTGGGCACATTCCTTCAAAGAAGTTTACCTTTTTGATGGCCATTACACCAACTCCTTATTGTAGCAATTGCGGCGTCGTTGAAGACATTTACCACGTTTTGATGGATTGTGTTCGGACCGAGAGACTCAGGAGACAGTTGGGCAGTATAGTTAACATACGGCAGACTGGGTGGTGTAACAGTATACTGGCCGTTCCGTCGTCGAACGAAGTCAAAATACTGTACAAAATATATTTAGATAGTCTTAATCTAGGTTAGATGTATAAATTAAGTAGCATTACGGAGCGATATTACTATTAAAATACACAGTGAAGCTCCTGAAATTTAGATTTTAAAAAAAAAGTAGTATTGCAGATAGGCCTTTGTTCTACGGACGAGTCGATTTGTCTGTGTGCATTTTGGCGACATCGGCGGTTCCGATAGTAATCGAGATTTAAGACACTTCTATTGTATTTTTTTCTTCCGTGATTCCCAATCACCTTCTCCATAGCCTCAAATTATTAGGTTCTAAAGAAGGCCTCTACATTACCTAGCAAAAAGCTGTGATTTTCAAAAAAATTCATGCAGATGGAAGAGGACGAAATAGGATCTTATTACACACCCTCCACATAGATACATGCCGTGCATTTAACAAGTTACAATATAAGTTATAATTTCGGTCCGATGTGATCCAAACCAACCAACAGACTGAGAATAATTTGCACTGTTAATAAAACAGTGTATACCTAACTATAACTCAAAAAGTGTATATTTTCAGAATCGATGAAAGACGAATTACTCACTTCCAGCGAAATATTGCTAAAATCATAGGTTAAACTTAGAATAATAACGCATAGAAACCTAGCCCGCACACGCTAAGTGAGGCAAATTGAAGCGCTCCCAAAGGGCCTACACGAGCGGGCGGGCCTTCAGTGCTCAAGGTCAACTTGCACCGCGAACAGCTCCAGAATTTTAGCTAAAAATTACGAAATGTGCGGTAAATGAGTGTAAAAAATACGTCAGACAAACATAAAATAGATACTAACATCACATTCCACGAGGAAGTAACGCGTTTCAACTTGTATTTTTATATAAATATTCACTAAAACCGAAAATTAACCTACTACTAAAACTAGCCTACATGAATTTGATTTTTGCCTCACTTGTGACAATTCGTTTGATATGAAACAATCATTCTATGCGTTATTATTCTAAGAGGTTAAAGTTTATTTATTACAGACATCTAAACAATGTCCTGCTTGCCAAATAAAAGGAAAAAATATAACATTCCGAAAAAATAATATAATAAGACTGTTTTATCCAGATCTAGTTCGCAAAAAGTTTGTCTCATTTTGAGTGAAATAGATTTATTTTGTTTCTTACAATATTTTAACGACGGTTTTATTGACGTGTAGAGAATCAACTTTTACGTTCAAAAATAGTATAATCTTGAATTACACATATTTTGAGTACAACACTATTGTAATAGTGAAGCCGTGGTAACCTAATGGTTTGACCTACTGCCTCTCAAGCAGAAGGTTGTAGGTTCGAATCCGGGCTCGCACCTCTGAGTTTCTCGGAATTTATGTGCGAAATTTAATTTGAAATTTATCATGCGCTTTTCGATGAAGGAAAACATCGTGATGAAACCTGCACGTTGAAGGTTTACAACCCTCGGAAAACGTGTGAAGTCCCCAACCCGCATTGGGCCAGCGTGGCGGACTATGGCCTAAACCCTCGTCTGAAAGGAGACCCGTGCCCAGCAGTGGGACATATAAATGGGTTGATGATGATGACTATTGTAATAGCAGTACGAATTGTAAGTTATGAAACTATTTTTCCGGATTTAAATCGCGTATATTTGTTTTTTCAAACAAACCGACGTTTCGGGCCCTTTACAGGTCCCATGGTCACGGTTGACTGAGGTGGTACAGTCTTCAACCAGTTATGTCTAATATTGATGCAAACCACCTTATTTTTTCCACTATAGGTACAATAGTTATTAATTAAATACCTTATTTTTAATTTTACAAAGAAATCATTCCAATTTACGCTACATTAAGTTTTACAAATTATTTTATTGAATGATTTTTCATTAAGTTCAATTTATTGTTAATTATTAATATAAATTAGAATAAACTAAAATACGCGCGACAATAACAAATATACGCGATTTAAGTCCGGAATAATAGTTTCATTTCCTATGTGTAACAAGCGCGAAAACCTAAGAATTCGAATTGTAAGTTTTTCATTGAAAAAAAAACCGACCTCGAAAAGTTTCAGATCCTGACTTCTTGGCGACAATGGGACTGTTACGGACTCCTTTGTACATTTTATCCTTTTTTTTGCTGTCAAGGTAACGGTGATTTGTTCATTACGTAATCGTGTCAAGTAAAAAGTTGACTTGTATTTGCGGAAAATAATTAGTAATTTGTGATAGCCGAAACGACCCCGGAACAGCATCGTCTGCATCAGGGACCGCCTCAAGAGTATACTCTTTCAAACAAAAAAAGAATTTTCAAAATCGGTCTACAATTGATGGAGAAATCGGTGAGAACACTGACATGCCAAAAAATTTGAGGATTTTCCTTGATTTCCACGAGATCCCCTCATCAGATTCTAGCTTGGTGTGACAATACGATCACCACGAGAGTGCACCCTTACAAACAAAAAAAGAATTTAAAAATCGGTCCACAATTGACGGGAAAATCGGAAAACATACATACAGCCGAACGTATAACGTCCTCCTTTTTCCTTAAGACAGTTAAAAATAAAGAAGAATAGAGCTACGTTCAGGGCCAACGTAAAATTGTGCCTTAGGTGGATTTTCCTCACGAAATGTAAAAAAGGACACCGTTGTACTATAATACTATTTTATTTAAATTATAAAAGGTACATTTTTGTTACTAATAAATAAAATACAATAAATCATTTATCCTTACGTACTATTTGTACACTTAAAACTAAAGCTAAGGGTTGGACCCCAATTTATGGCCATACCAAACATTTGTTTTATATGGAGTCCAACCCCAAATGTGTGGGGCTGTGATAAACAATGTAGTAGTCATTCCGCACCATCAACAATAAAGTAACCTAAAGCGAAAAGTGACATTCTTGGGAAACTGGCAAATTAAAATAAAAAAGTAACGTTACAAATAAAACATAGGTCTATAACTGCGTTCCAGCTTTTAAGGGAACTGGATAACTTATGTTCTCAAAGATCTTGTTTGCGAATTAAAGTTTTTTTTCATCTATTTGAAGTTTTCCTAAAATGACTTTTTGCATTAAATCACTTTATTATAGAGAGACATGTAGCAGAAGGCGCAAGTTCGATACCCAACTGGACACTTGCACTGGTGTTTTATTGAATCATTATGATTGTTTCCCTGCAGATATTTCACAAAATTCTTTGAAGACCAGCCAGATCTATTTAGTAAATTTTTTAACACCTCAGTTCGTGGATAATGGAAATGGTCGCGTCACGACCAATCATAATTCTCTTCATATTCTGACCAATCATAAACGCACTTAACCTAAAGTTAAGCGTCTGTGATTGGTCAAAAAGATTCTCCTCCCGCATACCCCGCCAACCAATGGAAGCTGATTGGTGAGTCTATAATAGTTTAAGGCAGCAACTCCAACTCAGGAGGTAAAGGAATGTTCTTAATAACAGCGAATCGTTTCAATGCGTCGTATTTGCTTCGCAGTGCTTCAATTTCGTCGCGAATGCGTCCGTTTTCTTCTTGCATTTGTTCCATGTCGTGCCATTCCTAAGAAAATAATAATGTATTAACAATTACGTTACTTACACATTTTTATAGGTTTTAAAGAGCGGTGGTACCCCTGCGTGGCGGACAATGATATAAACAAATCGAATTCGAAACAAACTTTGTAATAGCGATGGGCGACAGTTACTAAAAATAACCGAATTATTCGATTATAAATATAATCGAAATAATTCGATTGTCGATATCAATTAGTTACTAAATTAGTTATTACACTTCACTTTTTGGTTGTTGATGAAATATCGATTGTGAATCGAAATAGTTACTAATCTACTAGTTACTAATTTTTGGTTGTTGGTCAAATAATTAATAATAATAATAACGCACACACTGAACATAGCCCCGCACTAGAGAGACCCTGTATCGCGGATGCGAAATAAATGTAGGCCATACAAATATTTCTCCCGGTCCGGGAATCGAAGCTGGTATCTCTGCGTGGCAGTCCGGCATGGTCACCGTTCGGCCACAGAGGCAAATTAAAAACTGTCGTAATAGGATTGATTGTTAATAAATTAATAACAGGATTGATTGTTATTAAGTTAGTAACAGGATCGATTGGTACTAAATAATAGGATCATTAATTTTACATTCCGTGTCATAGTACAGAGGACCTTCCCAGACACTGAAAATTTAGTTAGTAATTTAATTACTAAATTAGTAACTACTAAATTAGTAAATTAGTAACTATATATTTTTCGGTAAAGACGACTAAATCTAAAATCGAATACAGGATAGTGCAACTGTCGATTTATTCAATATTTATTTTAGTAACAATCGCCCATCGCTATTTTGTAACCATAGCATAAACATTTTTCTCTGCATCTCAGGACATTGAAATTTATACCTTATTTCAATCGCAATAGTGTAAAATACACATTGATAAATTTAATGTCCTCAGCCTTGCCGTCCACCGGTTTACACTGACCCCATAGTGTTAATTATTTTTGTTGGATCTTGTATGTATATTTATACAAGCCACATGTATCTACTTAACCATGGACAATCATTCAATAGTACCGTGTACAAAATTCTCACTATATTCATATTCATATCTTTATTGCTTGTCACATGGTTTCACATAAAAGTTATAGAATGTATAACTGTAATCACGCATGTGACACCCTGCAAGGGCACCGCAATTCAGGGTACCACTACAAATTATTAATTACAAATATAAATATCTATTTTCGAATAACATTTAAGTATTTATTATTTATGACCTATAGTCGTCACCAAATAAGAGGCCAAATTTGACACTTGTCATCGTGACGCGAATAGGGATGTAATCACATTATACGATTTTCACGAGAAATCGATTCAAAATTTTAAAGAGTGTGATTATTTAGATTATTTTTCGGTATCATTGTTGCTGAGGGGTCCTAAAAGGCCAAATCGTGCAATTTTGTTAAAAGCAATTCATTTACGGAATCCCATGCAATTCTGTAGCAATTTCTCTTATTTTCGTAAAATTGTCCCACATTCCGATGAATTGTATCCAATTCTTTAAATTTTGATTTTATAATATTCATGAACGGTTTATTACGAGAATTTAATGTAAGAAACCAAGGATTTCATAAATTTTCATTCGGCTAGCAATAAGTTAGAAGTTGTCAGTGTCAACAACAAACAATCTCAAATAATGTTCATAATTGAAGTGGTATTTATCTTATCTTTCATACTTATAATAATGTTTAAAATGTGTGTTTTGTGATCAACAACAAAGCTTCCACTTATGGTTCACATAGATGATGATTGGATTAGTTTACAAAGTGTTGTATTGTATAATCATCACGTCGATTACTTCGTGAAAATAAAAAAAGGAAGTTAGATATTATTGAAGGTCTTTTCATTTATTTTTAAAGCGTTGTGCTGTCATTTTAATAATTAATTTCATATTTTTAGATATGGAGAGATGTTCAAATGTGGTCAAAGATGTAATATACATAATAATTTAAAATAGACCTATTTATATGCATTGTTGTTTTAATATTTAACAAGTCAATATTGTTTCCGAGAAATCGAAGTGACTCGGTGAACTCAGGCGATTAATTGCTTACAACACTATTATTTTTAAAAAATGGCATGAGGACCTATTTCCAGGACGTTTGGGAGTAACTCAAAATTGCATTTTTTTTGGAATTCTTGCGAACAGTATTTCAAATGTGTTTTCAAATATTATATTGTGTTTCAATAATATTTATGTATTTTTGTAAACTCAATTATACTATTAATTGTTTATTTATTGTTTCGTTGATCGCATTCAAAGTTACATACTATCGCCTTCTTTAGCTGTCAAATTTGGCATCTTATTAGGTGATGACTATAATCTATTTAATGACTAAGAAAATGGCACTTAACTTTTATTAAATATTTCGTCTAATTTATAAAATACAGTGAGACAAAATGTGTGTGTTGTACAATTTAAAACAAAATTTACTATGCCGTGCTAGACTATGCATTGTGGGAAACGGTAGACATTTTGAACACTTGCTCCGTACCATGTAAGTGTAAATATACTGTAAATAACTAAAAAATCAATCATTGTAAATAATTTGATTTCACATTTTTAACTGCGCCAACAACCTCAATTCTTATTAAATGATAACTAGTTACTAAATCTTAATAAAAACTTATCTTTTTTAGTACGTAAAACATTTCGATGATAGTTCAAGTAAAAAAAAATTAACATAAGCTGAAACGTAAATGTGAAATCATTGTTATTGTTGCTGTCTCACTCGGCGCTCGCTTGGTAGTATTCCCATTGCACTCGAAATCAAGCGTAAAGGGAATCAGTTTATTCCTATGTACACTTCAAAACACATTTGTTAATTTATTTTTTGTTCTATCCCATATCCTAATTTTATTTTAGTCTATGTCAAGTTGTAACATGATTTACATGAGTTGTGACATGTATGAATATGTCTCACTTTCAAATATACAGCCTGTATATCATATACGATTTAATTTCAAAGTCATTTTGAGATAATACTATGTTAGTTGTCATGTGCGACATATAAAGAGGTAAGTGGAACATTCTGCCACAAACTAATAACCTACCTGACTCTTTTCAGTCTCCAATTCATCTTTCTGTTCTATTCGCTTGATGCGACACGAGGCCGCATAACCTCTGTTCTTGAGTGTACGGCGGCGTTGCTTCATTCTGAAAAAAAATTAAGTGAGGTCACTTCACCAGATGTCACTAGCGGCACAGAATGCCGATACCCAGTACAAAGATCTTTAGCAAAAACAAACAATAAATATTAATAATAAATAAATTAATAATAAAAAATTTCAGCAACAATAGATCTCCTTGTGAAAGAGTTCATCCAGGGTAGTACTGCCACCTTATCTACTTCTGCTGCCAAGCAGTAATATTTAGTTTAGTTAGCATTACTGCGTTCCAATTTCAAAAAGGGTAAGGGTGCTGGTGAAATTACAGGCACACGGGACTTAAACTTTTGTCTCAGAGTGACGAGCGCAGTGGCAGTGCACCTCAGAACTTTGTGATTTAAAGCTGAGTGGCGCTCAAGTTTTTTAATAGTACCATGTGAAGGGACGAACAAGACGCGCGTCTGTTCCATAACATAACAGTACCATTCGAGAGCTTTATATCGCAAATATCTTAGGGGCACTACCGCTGCGTCCGTAACCCTGTAACATAAGTTGACAAGTCTCATGTGTCTGTAATCTCACCAGCACCCTTACTATTCAAAACTAGAATAATAACATTAACCCACCTGACAATCTGATCTCGAGTGAGACCTCTCATTTTGAGCTGTCGGTTAAGATCACGCACTGAGATGGAGACCAGCTCGTCATCACTGATCTCCGCACACGGGGTGGGCGATAAGGGAGCCTGAAATGAGACAATATTTTTATATGTTATCAAAATTATATTAAGCTGCTTGGGTTGATGTATGTATTTAACAAATTTTCTAGAAAATAGTTCTGTTTGTGGTGTAACAGCATTACTTGAATGTACCTATTTACTTGAACAGGAATTATGTAGGAAAGAGTAACTATGTGACGATGTTGACCTCTATCATCATAATCCCATCTTTTATCACCCTCTTTACTGGTTTTATCTTTACTAGTATTACTTTGTTTGTTTGTTACAGCCTTTCCCTTTTCTTTTCCTTTCATTGTCTACTTCTAATAAATTTATGTGGACGAACTCTTGTTTTACTTTCGCTAAGGCAAGGCCACAGTTATATCTCTGAATGTTGTGTGTTAAGCGACACGCCTGTCCATAGCAGTTGCAGAGCCACTCAGAGCTTTGATTCGCAAAGATCTGAGAGACACTGCCACTGCACTTGTCACCTTGAGACATAAGTTGACAAGTCCCATGTGCCAGTAATTTCATGAGAAATTTTAATGAAAATCTTTAAATAATTAGAAACCTCAAAAATTTGAACATTTCCTTAATGCTACTCAAAATTCAACTTTTTGTTAACCTGACCACAACAGCAAAATTTTTGAAGGAAAATATTTTTTACATATTTTCGTGTTAGAACCAATTACAAAATAATATTAATAACACAGAAACACAACAAACAAAACCACCTTATGAAATATTACTTTTATGTTTTATATTTCTTAATTAAAAATTTGCTGAACAATTTGGCATTCAAAACGCAAAGTCGACGTATTATTAATTGCTGGTATTGATATGATAGAAAACTATTTACTTTTGTTATGTTGCTTTACACTACTTTACAGCATTGTTTTGTATGATTTTTATTTTGTAATAATTAACCCATTACATGACCTAGACATATGTAGTGCCCTAACCATATTGTGCCACTAACAAGCAGCTGTGTTTTTATTCACGATTTCAAAAAATATTAATTATGTATAAAAAAAATTCTACATATTTTATCCAACATTGTTAGGGACACTGTTTAGAGCACTCAATGCATTGACTTACAATTATATGGACGTCGGGTCCGCGCTAAAAAGTGTCCGAACTTATAGGGCGTTAAAATCGTATACAGAGCGTCATTCACGCTCTAGTCTTCGTTTGTTCGACTGACAGCGAAGCAAGCAAAATTAGACAGTACTGCGACGACATTACAATTTAAATTCAACGTTTTAGCTTTTTCATATTCCTTGACATGTCACTACGTTTAAATTGGTTGACTTGGGACATTTTTTTCGTGGTTTTTGTATTAGACCCGTCGTCCATTTATTTGTAAGTCAATGACTCAATGGATTAAATTTAAAAAGTAGTAAATTTGTTTATACTACCACCAAATTGTATAAATTATGGCCAAAATGAGATTACTTTGCGCCTTGTAAGTAAGTATGTGCACTAAGTTTTTCAGTAACATTGACATCTTTGCACATACTAAACATTCAATTAAGCAAGGAATTAGTGGCGTAATTTGTCCACCCTAAACTATTATATTTGAGTTTTTTCTTTCCCCCATCACGATTTAAATTATAAATTGTTATTTTAAAATTTTACCTTCCATTTACAATTTTAATTATTATATTATTATTATTTTAATGTAAATTTTTTAATAATTCTACTTTTTTTATTATGACACAGTAAATAGATTTAAATATAGGTACTAATTTGTAATATAAAATGTTGAACATAATTTTTAAATCATAACACACTGTCACGTCATGTTATTCTTTTAAGCTTCTGTGATATCCTATAATTGGCATTATCTACTGGTCATGTAAAACAGATTTTTATGTTTCAATTGCACGCTCTAGGATGTTCTTTAATAAAAAAAAAATATGTTCATACTGCAACAAGAACATTTTACACCATAAGATAAAAAAAATTTCAAAATTATACAACATGTTTGTTGAAATATGAGCATCCACACTAATATCAACTAGGGGATATATGGTAGGATGTTGTGCTGGTTTACTCCCAGCAGTTCCATGTACTCAGTTCCATATGGAACAGGGTAACCCGTTGACAAAGAAGGCTAAAACTCTGTACTCATATGTCTCACTGAGGCGACATTATAGTGTAGAATAATCCACAGGGATTGACATCACAAGGCCAACATTGACACCCACATGTTACAGGCCTTTTTAAAAATACACTAAACTAGATAAAAAACATACACACTCATATAAAACTACCTCAAATAAATTACCCGCAAGTACAAAACAAGTTCTGATTACATTTACTTTTTTATCTTTATTTAAAGAGCTTTATCACAAAATGTGACTACTTCTGCTCTAGACATATAATTATTAAGTAAAGTAGAGAGAGTGTTGAAGCAAGTTA